CTCGTTTCCGACCCATCTCCCAGGTCTCCATGTTCCCCACTTACCTGTCCCCGTCGAACCTAGTTTAAAGCCCTCCTCACTAGGGTCTCACCATCAGACATGAGGACCAGCACGGGGCGGGTGGAGTTGGGGTTTGGGGGTACAGGGGGGTTTGGAGGTACAGGGGATCTCTGTCGGTCATGAGGACCAGCACGTGGTGGGTGGAGTGGGGTTGGGGGGTACAGGGGGTTTGAGGGTACAGGGGGTTTGGGGGTCTCACCATCAGTCATGAGGACCAGCACGTGGCGGGTGGAGTGGGGTTGGGGGTACAGGGGGAGGGGGTACAGGGTTTGGGGTACAGCGGCTTGGGGGTACAGGGGGTCTCACCGTCAGTCATGAGGACCAGCACGTGGCAGGTGGAGTTGGGTTTGGGAGTACAGGGGGAGGGGGTACAGGGTTTGGGGGTACAGCAGCTTGGGGGTACAGGGGGGTCTCACCGTCAGTCATGAGGACCAGCACGTGGCGGGTGGAGTTGGGTTTGGGGGTACAGGGGGGTCTCACCGTCAGTCATGAGGACCAGCACGTGGCGGGTGGAGTTGGCGACCGGCGCCACTTTGTGGCCCTTGCGAATCTCGTCCTGCTCCTGCTGGATGATCATGTTGAGCACGGCCTGGAGCGCGGCCCGGGTGTTGGTGCCGCTGCGCAGTGCGTGGCCTGGGGGGGCACGGGGGGGTCAGGACGGCCGGGTCCCCCCCTGCGACCCCCCGCAGCCCCCTGCAGCCCCTGCCCCCCACGGCAGCCCCCCTGCAGAGCCCCCCGCCCCTGCAGCCCCCCACAGCCCCTGCCCCCCCTGCAGCCCCCCACAGAGCCCCGCCCCCTGCAGCCCCCCACACCCCCCAGCCCCCCGCTGGACTCACTGTCGTATTTCAGCTCCCCCAGCTTGGTGCTGACCCAGTCGGCGTCGCTGCTCTCGGGCTCCACGGTTTTCACCACGATTTTGGGGTCAGTGGCGAAGGTCAGGACCCCGTAGCGGGGAAAGACCCCGTAGCTGGAGATCTGTGGGGGGGGTGAGCATCAGCGTGGGGGGGCCGGGGGCACCCACTGGGCATGGGGCAGGTGTCTCGGCCCCCCCGGGTGAGGGGCTCAGTTATGGGGCACCCGAGAGTTGGGGGCAGGGTCCGGTTTTGGGGGGTGCACAGACTGGGGGGATACCTGGGGGTGTGGGGAGCTGGGTGCAGGGGCAGTTGGTGGCCCCCAAACCCCAGGACTTGTGGGGCTCCTGGGGGGCTGGGGATTGTGAGGTCCTGAGGGGGGTGCCCAGGGAGGGTGCCCAGGGAGGGTGAGGGGTACCAGGGGTTTGGGGGGGCTGGAAGGCCCCAGGGGTGCTGGCTTTGGGGATACGGGGAGGGGGGTTGGGGGCTTTGGGTGGCTGGTGAAGGTTGGAGGGTGTCCGAGGAGCTGGGTTTTTGGGGGGGCGGGGGTGGGGGGTTCCCATGGGGCCAGCTGGGTGCTAGGGGATGCTGGGGGTCGCCGGGGTTTGTGGGGGTCCCCACCTTCTCGATGAGCTGGACCAGGACGTCGCGGGCGCGGGAGAAGTTCCCCTCCCCCACGCTGTCCGAGGCGTCGATCACCAGGTAAATGTTCATGGACCCGCCGGCCTCGATCCGGATCCTCCGCTTCACGTTCTCCGCTGCGGGGGGCGGGGGGGTCAGCAGGTGGCCGGACCCCCCCCTTTCCTGGCAGAGCCCCCCCGCTGCACCCACACCCTCTGGCAGGGCCCCTCGCTGCAACCCCCCTCCCCTAACACCCAGACAGGACCCTCCCACCCCCCCCACATGCCCCTGGCAGACCCCCCTCCCAGCAACCAGGCCTCCCAGCCACGGCCCCCCTACTGCCCCCCCACTACAAACTCCCTGTTCCTGCCCCCCCAGCCTGTGATCCCCCAACTCCAGCAGGCTGCCCTCCCCCCCCCAACTGCGATCCTCCCCCAGCCCCCCCAGCCAGCCCCCCCCAACCGCGATTCTCTGCCAGACCTCCTGCAACCCCACTGGGCCGAGCCCCCCCCCATGTGATCCTCCCTCAGCGACCCCTCCCGGCTGAGCCCCCCCCACGTGACTCACAGGTGGTCCGGTTCGGATCAGCCACCTCCACCGTCTCCGAGAGGGAGGCGATGAACGCGGAGGACACTTCCTGGGGGGTGTCGTAGGTGGACGGGTCTGGGGGGGCAGGAAGAGATGGGGGGCTGAGAAACTGGGGATCACTCCCCCCCCCGTGCCGCCCCCTCCCCCGATCCCCACGCCGCCCTCCAATCCCCTCGCACCGCGCCCCCCTCCCCCCATCTCATCACCTCGACACTCCGGTTCGGTCCCGCTCCAGGCGCCGGACTCCTGGCAGGTCCGTTCTTTGGACCCGAACATGACAAGCCCCCGGCCGCACCGGTACCGGACCCGGTCCTCCACCCGGTAGTGCTGCCCGTCCTTCGTCGCCCCGATGGGGATGCCGGGGTCCGGGCACTGGCCCTCTGCGGGGAGAGGGTGTGTCAGCCCGTGTCGGCCCGTGCCGGGGCGTGTAAGCCTGGGTTGGGGCGTGTCTGGGTGTTAGTCCATGTCAGGGCGTGTGAGCCCATGTCGGGGCGTCTGGACATGTCAGCCTGTGTTGGAGCTGTGTCAGGGTGTGTTAGCCCATGTTGGGAGCATGTCAGGGCATGTCAGCGTGTGTTGGGGCTGTGTTGGGGCGTGTCATCCCATGTCAGGGCCATGTCTGGACATGTCAGCCTCCATTGGGGTGTGCTAGCTTGTGTTAGCCCATGTTGGGGCCATGCCGGGGCGTGTTATCCCGTGTCAGGGCGTGTCGGGCGTCTCCGGGCGTGCGGCTCCCCCTCACCTCCGTCGTCGCAGATGGCCATCCCCCCGCTCCACTTCCCGTTGGGCAGGCAGGTGCGGTTGTGGGGGCCGCGCAGCGTGTACCCCTCGAAGCACTCGAAGGTCAGCGTCTGGCTGATGTTGTAGCGCGGCTGGCGGGGGTGGAAGTGCCCGTTGTCGAACTCCAGCGGGCCCGGGCACTGGATGGCTGCGGGGACAGGGGGACGGTCTGTCCCGGGTGCCCCCCATGGCCCCCCGCTTCCCCCTGACACCCCCTGGCACCCAGACACCCCCACAGCCCCCAGACACCCCCCCGGCCCCCCACCTCCCCCCGGCACCCAGACACTCCCCCAGCCACCCACCTCCCCCCGGCACCTGGACACCCCCCATGGCCCCCCGCCTCCCCCCATGGCTCCCCACCTCCCCCCAGCACCCGGACACCCCCCAGCCACGCCCCCACGGCCCCCCACCTCCCACTGACTCCCCAGACACCTCACATGGCCCCCAGACCCCTCTCCAGAACCCCTAGCCTTCCCCTGGTACCCCCTCGGCTCCCAGACCCTCCCCAGCTCCCAGACACCCCGCATGGCCCCCCGCCTCCCGAACTCTCACCCCCGGCCCCCCGGCCCCGCACCTCTGCACTCGGCCTTGGCGAGGGGGCGGCCGCCGGGGGGGTTCAGGGGGCTCCAGCGGCCGTTGGAGCGGCACTCCCGGACGGGCCGGGGGTACGGGAACTGCCCCTCGGGGCACTGGTACACCAGCATCTGCCCCTGGCGCTGCAGCCGGGCCGAGCCCCCCACGATCGGCGCCGCCTGGGGGTCGCAGCTCGGGGCATCGCTGGCAGCTGCGCCTGGGGGGAGCCAGAGCGTCAGGCCGAGGCCAGGGACCCCCCCACATACCCCCCCCACGGCACCGGGACCCCCCGATTACCCCCCCAATCCCGCCAGGGGGCGCCCGGCCATTTGTGTGGGACCCATAAAAACCCGCCTGCCGGGCAGGGACAATATATGTAGGACCCACCCCAATTATCCCCCATTTCTGCCCGAGCCCCGGGGGGGGGGGACTAGCTGGCAGGGGGGTTATGGGGGTTTCTAGCCAGGTTGGGGCCCCTGAGCTGGGAGGGGCAGGCGAGGGCTGGCTGGGTTGGGGG